TCTGATTTTCACTCTTTTTTCTCTTGTTTCACTTTATTAGCCTTATTAATATCATCTTCCAAAATGGAATCAGGAGTCATAGGAAGCAAAGTAATTTTTTTGTCCTTATGAACAAGAGTATATTGATTGTTTCTATCATGGTGTACAGAATTTTTATTAAATTGCCATGGTCTATCAAGTAATAAGGAACATGCTTGCATAGGTACCACATCACAATCAACATAATCAGCATATGTAGAGATACTAAAAAGCACATGAACAGTACGTGTTACCTTACCTTGCCGCTGTTGTTGAACCATTAGATGTAGTAAGGATGTGGATGTGGTCTTGTGGTGAGAGATAGCTTCTCCACCATCTCCATGCTAGCCAAGTTGTTGCAGCTCCCTCCATCTATGATGACGCGAATAGAACGTTCCTTCACAACTCCCTTTGTATGGAACAAATTATGCCTCTGATTTTGCTCTGCTTGTGTAACTTGCACGCTCAAAACACGTTGAGCAACTAAACATTCATACCTGTAAGCATCTTTAGCAGCCATGTATTGCGTCTCATGATCAAAATCATCTCCACCGTGTTCTTCACTTGTAATAAGAGCCAAAGTCTCCTCATCATAGTCACTAGCGGACTCATACCCACCATCCTCAGTAACAATCATCACATGCTTAGATGGGTATTGTCTCGCATAATGACCTCCACCCTTGCAACGACGACAAATAATATCATGTGGTTGTCCTGTTGATGCCATGGATGAAGAAGAGCTCTGTCCAGGCCCAGAAGGTGTGCACTTGGCAGATAGTGGTGGTTCGTAACACCTACGATGCGACTATATCTCCCACGTGTAGGAGCACGACTTAGAGGCATAACTACATAGTAGGCATGTCGCAAGAGGGGTAACCTTTACACATCCCATGTACTGAATAAGAAAGGGATAAAGAGTTGGCTTACAATCGCCACTTCACACAATACATAAATATAGCATTACATCATCCAGAATACAATCAAGGTCCGACTACGGAACCAAAATAAAGAGAACCCCAAATGCATAGATCCCCGATCGCCCCAACTGGGCTCCACTACTGATCATCCGGAAAGAAAAACATAGTAACGTCCTGAATCCTCGTCGAACTCCCACTTGGGTTCGGTAGCATCCCTTGCACTGGCATCATCGGCACCTGCATCTGGTTTTGGAAGTAATATGTGAGTCACGGGGACTCAGCAATCTCACACCCTCATGATCAAGACTATTTAAGCTTATGGGTCGGAAAAGGTAGTGAGGTGGAGCTGCAGCAAGCACTAGCATATATGGTGGCTAACTTACGCAAATGAGAGCGAGAAGAGAAGCAAAGCACGGTCGAGAAGCTATAAAGATCAAGAAGTGATCCTGAAACTACTTACGTTCAAGCATAACACGAGACCGTGTTCTCTTCCCGAACTCCGCCAAAAAGAGACCATCACGGCTACACACGCGGTTGATTCATTTTAATTAAGTTAAGTTTCAAGTTCTCTGCAACCTGACATTAACAAATTCCCATCTGCACATAACCACGGGCACGGCTTTCGAAAGTTCAAAACCCTGCAGGGGTGTCCCAACTTAGCCCATCACAAGCTCTCACCGTCAACGAAGGATATTCCTTCTCCCAGGACGACCCGATCAGACTCGGAATCCCGGTTACAAAACATTTCGATAATGGTAAAACAAGACCAGCAAGACCACCCACCGTGCCGACAAATCCCAATAGGAGCTGCACATATCTCATTCTCAGGGCACATCGGATAAGCTAAGCGTACAGGAGCCAACGTAACCCAAGTTTCCAAGGGACGACCCTGCATGGTGCTCTAGTTTGGACCAACACTCAGAGGAGCACTGACCCGGGGGTTTAAAATAAAGATGACCCTTGAGTCCGCGAAACCCAAGGGAAAAAGGCTTAGGTGGCAAATGGTAAAACCAAGGACGGGCCTTGCTGGAGGAGTTTTATTCAAGGCGAACTGTCAAGGGGTTCCCATTATAACCCAACCGCGCAAGAAACGCAAAATCAAGGAACATAACACTGGTATGACGGAAACTAGGGCGACAAGAGTGGAACAAAACACCAGGCATAAGGCCGAGCCTTCCACCCTTTACCAAGTATATAGGTGCATTAAATTAAACAAGATATAATAATGATATCCCAATAATAATCATGTTCCAACAAGGAACAAACTCCATCTTCACCTGCAACTAGCAACGCTATAAGAGGGGCTGAGCAAAGCGGTAACATAGCCATATAACGGTTTGCTACGACAAGGTGGGTTAGAGTTTTAACATGGCAATACGAGAGGCATGATATAGCAAGTGGTAGGTATCGCGGCATAGCAAAAGAGCGAGCAACTAGCAAGCAAAGAAAGAAGTGATTTCGAGGGTATGGTCATCTTGCCTGCAAAGTTCTCCGAGTTGAGGTAAGCTTGATCCTTGTAAGCGTACTCAATGGGTTCCTCGATCACATACTCGTCTCCCGGCTCTACCCAAGGCAAGAACACAAGCAAAGGAAACCACAATCAACCATGGTGCAATGCGCAAGCAACATGATGCAAAACATGGCATGATATGCAGGATGTGATATGCAATGCATATGCGTGCTCCGGAAAGAAAAGATTAAACCATGCCTCAACTTGGCAAAGCAAGTGTGCCGCTGAAAAGATGAGTTGATTTCGATCGAAATCGATATAAAGATCACCAGAATCGGATGCACGGTTTGCAAATGGCAAGCAAAACAAGAATGTCACAATTATGCGACTAACAGCACGATGCCACCTAAAATGCAACAAGAAACTAAGCTACTGCACTCTAACATAGCAACAAAGCACATGACAGTGATCTACTCAAGATGCTTGACAAAAGATGAACACTCAGCTACTGCTAAATCACACAATAGCAGGTTCAAACAAGCATGGCAAAAGTGCAAAAGATAACAACATCACAGACTGTGAAAATAACAACATGCCAGGAATTAACATCAGGAAGCAATGTTTAGAGCAAGATAACAACATGCTACAGGAACATATCATGGCAAAACAAGGCATGGCATGAATCTACTCAAAGCATATGATAAAAGTCCCTTACTGACCATAAGCCAAAAAGGATCAGAAGATATGATGGCACCCATGTAAACATAGCAAGTTTCGTTAACAGATTCAGTCTTAGCAGAAAACTGGACATGACAAAAACAGAATTATGAAGGCATGTTTGCGAGCTTGATTCACTCAACACAAGGCATTGCATGGCAAGATAAGCATAGCAATAGTAATAAGACATGTTCAAGAAGCTAAACATGGCAAGAACAATCTCATAGCATGCATGGATCAACTACAACAACCTTGACAAAATTGATTAACACGTAAACAGTCTGCCAGGAACATTTTATAGCAAAAGTAGAGTAAGATTGAGTCATGCTAGACCACTCCATAAATGCAAACAGAGGCATGGATGGATAGAGCACAACCATATGTCCAAATCATCCTTACTGAACATATTCAAAAGAAGCATGGATCTCTCTGTAGCAACATGAATACATGGCATAAACATAACATCAGGAAAATGACTTGGTGAAATTCTAAGTCCCTGAAATCAGCAATATCACGAGAGCTACTTTGCATGCATGTGCTAGTCACCACAAAGATCACAAAAATACGTGGCATACACCCCTGTAAAGATGGCATGACATAGCCCAAAACACATGTAGAGCTCATGCTCATATGCAGCACACAATAAACATGGCAAAAATGACAAATGCTCAAGATCTGCTAAGAAAAAGGAACTAACATTTTATAGCACTCTTGCATCAATAATTTGGGCATCAAGATGGACTCAAACAAGCATGGCACAATGTAACAAAATGAAGAGCACATTCAGATGAACAATTTGATACGCCCAAAATGGAGCTACGGGCACAACGTTATGGCATGATGAAGGGAGCATAAAATTAACCAAAAAAGGGACTTAGTGGAAAAGTGGACCTCGGGATCTAGGGTTTCCGGCTCGCGAACCGAGGTGGCCGGAGTAGCTCGCCGGAGTTGGAGGTCACGGTGGCGGCGGGACTTGCCGGATCCGAGGCCGGTGTGGACCGCCGAAGTGGGGCCGGCTGCATCCGGGCTGCGGGATCATCCGAGCAGCGCCGTCGGGGCCGCGACGAAGGAGGAGTCGTCGTCCTCGACGATAGCGACGACGATGACGCGCCACCGCCACCAGTCCGCCATGGCGACGCCGGGCAGGGGTCCAGCAGGGATGACCGCGTCAAGAAGGAGAAGGCCAACGATGATAACGGCGGCGAGGATGACAACGACCACGATGACTACTCGGCGTTCAACGATTTTTTTTAGTTTATATTTGCTATGTACCGCGTCGTGAACATGTCTAATATATGTCAAAGTTTGCCGAAATTTAGCCGTGTTTAACCGAACTTCGTCGAACGTTTTTTCTTGAAAAAATTAGACGCGTCCGGCGACTGGGGACCAACTCGCCCCCAGGCCCTTTTTTTGCGCCGGCTAGCCTCCGGGTGGCGATTTTAGGCGCCCCTGGGGGGCCAACGGCTGGAGATGCTCTAAGCTAGCTAGGGTAGTAGTGGGTGATGAACTTTGTAAGGTTTGGTCCCTCATTTCGTTCTTTCTGTTTTGTCGGATGAGATTCCGAACTTACTAAGTTAAATAAAGCGCAACTTTAATTAAGAAAAACTGCTCAAAACACACACATAAAAAAACACAGCTCAAAACACAAAATATACTCATAAAACCAGGAGAGCAGAAGAGAATGATAAAAATAAGTAAAATTCCTCTTCCCCTCGCCGCTGCCTGCCGCCGCCGTTGTTGAAGCTAAAGGGAAGAGGAGGGGGAGGACGACCACCGGGCGCCCTGCTGCCTCCGGCACGAGCTGCGGCCTGCTGCCGCTACACAGCCTCGTGCGCTGTGCGCTAATCGCCGCCCCGGAGGCGGCGGCGGCCCTGCGGTTGGCTGGTTGCGGGAGACCGATGGCGCCGGCGAGGAGGAAGCGCGGCGCATCTGCGGCTGCTGCAGCGGCGGCGGCCGCGGCGCAGTGGAAGGTCGGCGACCTGGTGCTCGCCAAGATAAAGGGCTTCCCCGCGTGGCCAGCCATGGTGAGTTCGGGCTTCTTTCTCATCTGTAGCCTCGTACGCAGTTGTCCGGGTAGCCTGTGGCTTGGGAACTCGGGTTAGCTTGCTTAGGGTTTCGTTCCAGGGTGGAAGGCGGGCCTTGTGGGGCCTGCCATGCTGCCATTTTGGCCAAATCTTAGGTTCTTCGATGGCCTCTTGCCCCGATTTGATTGTTTTAGCTGTTAACCTGTTCTAGTTTTTGTGCTTTTCTTGCCGCTTACCAGTGAGATTTGGTATGCACACGGTTTAGGATACGGAAAAATGGATCTTTGAGTCAGAGAAGCTGTTTCTTGTTTCATTTTCCCGAGCTTTTGAAATTAGGTGATATTCCTATGTTTTATCGCAGCTTAACTAGTTTCATTTCTTGTTTTCCTTCTTCTTTCTTCTAGCTGCTGGTTTTTTTATTGATAATATTTGGCGTTGCTGGTAATTTAGAGTTTAAAGGAACTGGGAATCATGTAGGATTTGAGTGATATGTCTTAACTCTGTTTGGACTTTGGATATATATACATCCCTGCGCCTGCTGTTCGAAGTTTGTTAGTTACATAATGTGCTCTTTATTCATTGTGATTTGTTCAAGTTTATTAGATGCATAGGTTCCAATTTGTGTTTTGCTCTTAGGACCCATTAGTACCTGTTTACACTGGTGCAAGGTTCTTTGTGACTTGTGAACAAATTGTGATTTCACTTTGGCATGTTAAATGCGAACTTTTGATTGCTTGCTTGCTTGGCATTAATGGATCTTCAAGATAGGGATAAATAACTAAACTATGACCCGACCTTATGTTGGCCCTTGGACCACCTTGTTTACACTGGTGCAAGGTTCTCTGTGATTTGTGAACTACTTATGGTTTCACTTTGGCATGTTAAATGCAATCTTTTAATTGCTTGATTAGCATTAATGGATCTCCAGAGACAGGGATAATAAGTACCTAAGCTATGACCCGTCCTTGTGTTGGCCCTTGAACTTTTTTGCTCATTGGATTAATCCCTATTTATTTACTTTTGTCCAGGAATATCGGTTATCTTCAATATTTTCTTCTTTGGGACATAACCTTGTCCAAAGTTCTTGTTCAGTTAATGAATTCATTAAGCTGTAATAAGTGCGTGATGCATATGTTATTTTTGTTATAAGTGGTTTGGCTTAGAGCTAAAAAAATCAAACTGTATATTGGTGTTTCATGGTTGGCAGTTTACTTCATAAACCTTCTGCATTTGATTCTCATCATTGGCTAATGTTTGCATGACTCAACAAATTTCCTTCTCAACGTTGTTTTCAATAGTTACACTCGCTGCACAAGTATTCTCGAAAGTGAAAACTTCTAATGTTAGTATCACACTCGCTGCATGCTGCATACTTGGTTAAGCTATTCGTTTGCTGAGATGCTTAGAGCATCTACAACCACGATTGCCAAATTTGGCACCCTATATGTCCGCGGACGCGCCCGAGTGTGTCTGTGGACAGTGGCCGGTCACCCCCCATATCTCCACATCCGTAGCCGTCCTCCTCAAATGTCCGTCCGCCCCCAAAGCCATACAACCCATGCAACGTGTTCCGCATTTACATAGATGCAATTTGAACATAGCAATAGCAAACATATATTGGGGGATAGCAAGTTTCATCATCACATAGATACAACCAGACAGAGTGTTCATCACCTAGTTACGATAAAAGATAGATAGATACTTGTGGAGGAAGAGGCCGCGAGACTTCACCACTTCCTTGCCGGCCGCTTCCTCTTGGGGTCTTCGGAGTGATGGGTAGTCCTCGGTGTAGGCGCCGGCGGCTGAAGGGGCGGTATCGTCGTTGGTAGTTCTGTTGTCGGAGGAGGATGAGCGGATCCCAGCCAGACGCCGGGCGGCGCGGGCGTGCCCTCGCGAGACGGGCGGCTTTCTTCACGGCAGCCGCCTTTTGCCTTGCGAGGTGCTTGGACTCCTTGATTATGATGCGGAGTGCCGTCGCATTTTTTGCGGCGGCAGCGACGGGCGTCCGTCTCCGCTGAGGTGAAAGGACCGGAGGATGACGTCGATGGATGATCTCGTCATCGTTGGTGGCGGGCAAAAGCGGCTCTGGCGCGGAATTGTAAGATCCGCAGCTGGACCGGCTGGAGGCGGTCTGCGCCGCCCTCTGCCTTGGATGGCGATAGGCCCACGCCTTTGACTCGGGCAGCCGCGACCATTGGTTCGGCGATGCTGGGGACAAGCACTCAGCGCCGCCCGAGAGTAGTGGCTGGAGGTGCTGGGTGCCATCGGTTGCCAGCTGCCTGGCGAAAACTGCAACATGCGGTCGCAGGCTGACGCGGAGCCGCAGCTGCCCCTCCGGGTCATCGAGGAGGCTGTGGAGCTTGAGCTCCTGCTCCTATCCATCAGTGACCGGCGGAGGGCAATGCGGAATGCGAGCTCCTCGTCGTCTGGAGAGGACGAGCTGGAATCCTTCTTGACGAGTGCCGCACAATTGATTGTCTCGGATTCGCTGCCGGATCTGCTGCCATGGTGAAGGAGAGAGTACGAGGAGGGGAGGAGACGGGGCAGTGTAGACGGAGCAGTCAAGAAGAGTGAGGACTTTGACTAGAGTTTGGTCCGGGTGGGGTATTGGTGGGGGCGGGGTGGGCTATCGTAGGCCGGATCGACGTGGCGGACGCGTCCGGTACGCCCCAGATACGGGCTATGTTTGGGGAGTGCCGGTAAGCCCACACGTTTGGGCTGACTATGCGAGGTCCAGTTGGGTGGCAATTTGCTCTCTGGGCAGTGACCGGGCAGGTTGCCCGGATGCCCGGATGTTTGGGGACGATATGAGGGCTCTGGCTGTAGATGCTCTTAGTAACTATTCTATATGTTCAGTTGAACTCGAAACTGTTACATAGACATCCTGCATCAATGATAAAGAAAGCTCTAGGCGCTAATTGTGTGTCTTCCCACTGCATAGTGCTTATCTCGCCTAAGCGAATGCCTAGCACGATTAAGCGCTAGGCATTTTGTTGTCCCCTCGCGCCTTTTTTCACTGTCCTGCATACTTCCTTAATCGCTGTGTGGCTGTATTTACCAAGGAGTTATTAAGTTAACTGCAGAATGTGCTAATTTGTTCCTTTGCTGATGTTAGACTATTTCTGTGAGGGAGAAAGTTTGACATAAATTATTTTCCTTGTGTTTCAGTTTATTTTATTTGAATTTGCTATTTGCATGCTTTGCAGATAAGTGAACCAGAGCAATGGGGTTTACCTTCTGTTAAAAATAAGCGTCTGGTCTACTTCTATGGAACTAAACAGATGTAAGTTCTGTTTTGAATGAAACCTTTCATTTTTGTATGGAGTTCAGAAGCTGCTTGTATCTACCTCCATCTGTTTAGTGTGCGTTGAAGTTTTTCTATGGCTCATCTGCTTTGTCTTTATAATTGGACAATTGGTTATATATGGAGTACTTGTTATGGTAAAAAAGAATGTTGCATATCTTTGTAAGTATGTTTTCTTGGGTTATTATGTCAGTGCCTACTTACTATTTGCGCACCACTTTACTTTCCTGAGTAAATAATGTTGTTTATCCAGCTATAAGTTGCAGATTAGATAGATACTTTAGCATGGATTAACATCTGGTTGTCAAAACCTGTTATTTTATTTCTTTCTGTAATTTGCACGTGCCTATTTCTTAGTTCAACAAATATATATAGGATAAACTTAAGGTTGTTAACTCTGGACAATCCACTTAACTGGAAAAATTACATGCCATGGGTAAGAGAAATCAAACTACACATTTAGGGCGTGTTCGGAATCTATCTAGCTTCTTAAAACTTCACAAATCCAGCTTCTAGAGCTAGCTTCTCACTTCACCTGGCAATTCCGACACGTTCTGCACGCTTGACAGCTTCTCCCAGCACTTGTACAATACCATCACCAGCCATAGGGAAGATGCAAAGGCGAGCTCACCTTGGGTTGGGGCGAGGGGGCGAGGGCGAGGAGGCTGGCTCAAAGGAAGACATGGTGAGCACCGGCATCAATGGCGTCAAGGTGGGCGTCTCCTGCCGGTGGGGTTGCTGCTCCTGGCTGGCGGCGCTGGAAAGTGCTCATTCGGGACGGGATCCAGCGGGAACGGGGCTGGAATGGTCGGATCTACTGGCGGAGAGGCTCGCCGGCCGACGAAGGGGTGGAATCGGGCGTGGCGGCGGCGACCAGCGGCGCTGGGTAGGTCACGAGCAGAAGAGATGTCGAGGGAGAGAGGGGAACAGGCGTCGGGGTGAGCCGTGCGAATCGTTTTTTCGACTTGGCGGTGGCATCCCCTTGTAATTATGCCGAACTCCTCACTTCTCGTTTTCCTGGTCTATCCTGGAGCTGTGATTTTGGTGCTTTTTGTTTTTACATTGGACTCCGGCTGTGCTTCTCGAAGCTAGCTTCTTCGAGATTTTTCGTTCGGCTCAGCTCCGCTCCAGCTTTTTGTGAAGCGTGGAGCAGGAGGACATCCGAACACACCCTTAGGCCAATCTCTTGAAAAAATTGGAGTTATACTGAGCATTGAGAAAAGCACAATTAGTTTCCGGCACAGTCCTCTCTTTGTTCTAGTGTCTGAGAAAGTCACACTATCAACATGTTCAGTTCAAGTTATCATATGGAGTTTTTGACAACCAATAATACAATGGTGTACAAGCCAGGGGAAGAACCTGCTCCTTGACCTTTAGGAGTAGAATAATTCCTTATTTCTCCCTTTCTTAAAATGTGCTTCTCTGTTGGCCTAAAAAATATATTCTAAAAAATATATTTCTTCCCTATTTGGCACCATGGAAAAATTATATGCCATGGGTAAGAGAAATCAAACTACACATTTAGGCCAATCTCTTGAAAATATTGGAGTTATATTGAGCATTGAGAAAAGTACAATTAGTTTCTGGCACTACTCTCTCTGTCGCTCGCACTACCAACATGTTCAATTTGTTTCGAGAAAACGCAAAAGAATTTGCGTTTCATTATATTGAGCCGGAAGATATCGGGGGTACAACCTCCAGAAAGGAGGGACACGCGCGCACTCACACACCGGACCGTCCTCGCCAAGCGACTACAACTAGGTGCCCTCAACTA